CACCGGAGAGTCCTGGCAGGAAAGCCACCACATGCTGGTGACTCCTAGGTCTTCCCAGAGGTCCCCAAAACAGGATTTGGAGATCAGGAGGGGTGCACACTGTCATGCCCCGCCGGCCGATCCCTGTCACCTCTCTTCCCCCAGATGACGACTGCACCAACACCTTCACCCCCAACCAAGTGGCCCGTATGCATTGCTACCTGGACCTGGTGTACCAGCGCTGGGGCCAGAGCAAGAAGCCCGCACCCATCCCGATCCCTCCCATGGTCACGGGGCAGACGCAAGACTCCCTCAGTATCTACTGGCTGGCGAAAAAAGCGGTGTCATCCACGAGAGGTAAGGGATCTGCTGTTGTAATGGTCTTGGGCTTGTATAGGAGCCTGCTAGAAGGGACGAGGGATCTTCTATGGTGCAGACACCCCCCTTCCCCATCCTCTTTTCCCCCTTGGTCATCTCCAGCAGAGCCCACAGACACAAGAGCTGGGTTGCTGTGATGGTCCTGCTGGCACATGGTCTCTCCCACAAGCTTTCTGCTGTCAGGGTGCCGGGAAGGGAAGCCAAAGAGCGTTGGGAGGCAATGCCAATTCTTAAACCCCGGAGTGCAATCACGGAATGAAAAATGAGCTTCATTTAGCACTTATTGTATAAAATAGCTATTTACCAGGAGGAAATGCAGCCTTGTGGTTAAGTCAGGGAGCTCGAACCGCAAGAACTGGGTTTCGTTCCCAGTGCTGTCACAGACTCACGGTGTAACTAACTGGGGGTAAGTCAGGAAACTTTTCAAGCCAGAAGAACGATGCTGAGGAACAAGAGTTGTTTGGCTGGCGAGCTGCGCGTGGCCCTGAGCGCCGAGTGGCTGTGTTCCTCCTCCCCAAGACCTGGATACACCACCAATGCCTGTATTCATCAGCCCCTTTCACTAAAACATATTGGTTTCCATCAGGCTTTAGGTCTATGTTTATATTATGGGACCATAAGAACATGCTAAAGAGCTCTTGAACTTGTCTTAAAGCTGCTTCACAAAGCTGTCTCTTGCAATTAAAAGAAAAGTGCTGTTTGAGGGCAGCTGGGACACTCTTGGGTCAGTGTTTACTGCCTTTTGAAAGAACTGATGCTCTCCACGATGGTCCTTTTGCCCAGGGATAACAAGAACGTGTGCTTGTCACCCCCCAGGCTTGAGAGCCTCTGAGTGCTGGGTGGCCTTGAGTCATCCAAACTGCTTTGGTGGGGAACGAAGTGGTTTGGGAGCAGGAAAACATGGGTCTAGAAGGCAGGCGCTGGGTGTTCAGATCCACCCCCACCTCTCACTTATAATGGGCTCAGGAGCTGGTTCAGGGTGGGGGGTCCTGCATCCCTGGGATGAACTGGTCAAGGAAAGGGGCTGAGGCTGACCCTTATCACAGAAAAGTGCCTTTTTTCCTTCCTGGAGAGCACAGTGGGACCTCCTTTAATTGACATTTATTGTGACTGTTTTGCATTACAGTAGTGATGCAAGCCAAAACCTGACCCTGGGGTTTAGCAGAGATAGATCCAAGTGTACCCACCCAACTGCAGAGGCATTGCCCTGGGAAGCGTGAAGTCTCTTAGCTCCACTTCATGGGTAGGGAACAGGCAATTCAGTGGCTCATCCAAGATTCTCCAGAGAGCGTGTAGAAGAGGAGGGATTAAACCCAGCTTGTCCCACGGTCACTCTTATTTTCCTGTCTTTGAAGATAATTTCAAGCAGGATAATGTGTCCAGGGCTTCCTGAAAGCTTAGCTTTGCTTTTCCAATTTCCCATTTAGTCCCACCTAGACAAACGTGAATGGAAAACTAACTGGTCATGGTTAGATGTGCCAACGCCTTTGTCTTCTGTCTGCAGGGAGCAGGACATGCTCTGCGACGACTGTGCAGAGGATGGCACCTTCCATCAGTATGTGCACGAGGCCTCTTCCCCTCGGGTCTGTGATTCCTCGGGCTACTGGACCCCAGAAGAAGCAGAAGGTAAATGTCTCCTCTCTTTCCCCAGCTGTGAATCCCCTGGAGAGAGGTGAGATCTTGTTGGTAAAAAAAAAAAAGAGAAGCTTTTTTTTTTCTTTTAGAGAGTGAGTTGTCTCCCCTTTGCGGAGTCTCTTTAGTGCAGGAAGGACCTTTTAGGTGGCCAGGACATACCTCGTAACTGCCAGCTGGCTTTGGACAAACAAACTGACACCTGAATATTAACCCCAGTCATCCCACAGAAAGGTGTTAATGACAGGTATGGGTCAAAGTGAGGGGCTTTTCATTGAAATGGAAGTCTTACAACATAGCTTTTGGGACCTCACCCAAAACCTCAGGGGCATTCACAGGCTTTGCAGCCTTGTGCAAAAGAAGCAAGAGGGTCTCCTTGCCCAGTCCCACTGAGCCTGTACCAAGTCCTGGGCAATCTGCAGTGGATGCCATTCCTTGCTGGCAAGGTGAACAGCAGGGTGTTAACTTCTTTTGTGCTGAGACCCAGATGTTGGTTTAGAGACCCATCTTGTGGGCACAGTGGTGACTTTCAAGGCCCTGCAGCTGCCATAGGAGCTGTTGAGCTTTTCACGCTGCCTCAACTCCTCCAAGGGCACAGCAGAGGAGGCAGGAGACCAGGTGAAATGATCCCATGGACTGTATCTAGTGGACATGCTGCTGTTGAACCATGTGGAGACAGAGGATCTGTTAGTTCTGTACATCTGCTGCTGAGGTCGACTGAAAATGTGCCCAGGTGACGGCTGAGAAAGTGCAGTTTGGACATTATTACACCTTTGGCATGTAGCCCGTGCTTTGAGAACAGGAGTGTCGGGATGTAGCTGAGATTCTGGGTCTGAAAACTCTTTAAGTATCTCTTGCTAGCATTGCAAGTTGAGCGGGGGGCAGAAGTCAACTTAGATAATCAAATTTGTGCATACTCAGTGATACCAAACAAATCAAAGCTTAGCTCATTTATTGTCAGTGGTCCCTGTTTCCCCTGCCTGTCTGATTCACCGGCAAATTAAAACTGCTTCTTGAATTATTGGATGTTGTTTTCTCCCATGCGTGACCTGCAATTATCACAAGTGCATGTTTGGTCTTATGAGAGAAAGACAGGTTTGATGGGTTTTGGAAGACCCATAAATTAATATTAATCCAAAATCCAATATTAAATGGGAGCAGGCTTTGAATTGGTGCTGGGCCCAAAGAAATGCTTGCAGTGGTTGATGAAGGCAAGGGTACTTCTACTACAAGATGATAAAGTCCAGTGACTCTTTCTGAGACTGAAAGCCCAACACTGCATTTCTCTTGCTGACTGCTGACCACCCTGGGGAGGCGGGCTGGGGATCTGAGGTCAGCCTGGGTACCGTCCTGGTGGAGGAACAGCCTTCTAGAGCGGCTTCTCTGCCTTGCTTTAGACCGGGTTCTTACCAGCCTCCTCCTCATCCCCCCTGACCAGGGCCCCCGGACGTGGATCAGCCCTGTGAGCCCAGCCTGCAGGCATGGAGTCCGGAGCTCCACCTCTACCACATGAACATGACGGTGCCGTGCCCCCAGCCAGATGGCTGCATCCTGGAGCTGCACTTCCTGCACCCCGTCTACCCCGATTCCCTCACCCTCTGGACCACGTACCTCTCCACAGGCTCTCCCAAGGCGCTATCTGACATCGAAGTCTTGACAGAGCAGGGGGAGTCCATCCATCTGGGCCCCCTGGACACCTTCTGTGATGTCCCCTTTACCGTGAAGCTCAACATCCCTAAGAAGGTGTCTGGAGTCAAAATCTACACCTTTGACGAAAGGATGGAGATAGACACGGCCCTGCTGACCTCCATGCCCCACAGCTCGCTTTGCTCCTCCTGCAAGCTGATCCAGTACAGAGTCCTCCGCGACCCGCCGTTTGCAAATGGATCCCCCGCCGCACCGGCGCAGGCGCACCGCTGGTTTGTCGACACGTGAGTGATGAGGCTGCTCTGTTGCAGGCTAAGTAGGTGGCTGGGACGGTTTTGATGACCTCCTCAGGTCCTGCCTTTGAATCCCTGGATGGTTTTGCTTGTGGTTTGGGTTTTTTGGAAGAAAAAAAAAAGGAATTCAACTTTTAAATTTAAATTTAACTCCCTGGGAATTACCATGCGCAATGCCATGAGCGGATTCCTTGTTCAGCATTGAAGAAGCTTGTTGCAGACCCACCTCCCTTGCTCAGGAGCCCAGGCTGACTAGAAGGAACTCATTAAACCTGGAAACATTTTCCCCATCAACATGTCCAGTAAAATGATCGTTTGAGTTAACGCAGCTTCTCCCCAGCTCAGACCCTAGGGAAATAAGCAGCAGGCCCCTCTGCATGACCTGGCAGAGACCCTCTTCCCACAGTCTCTGCCTCTGACAGCTTAGAGTATGAAGACATGTGTCAAACTGATACTGCCTGGGCACAAACATGTTATTTCTAGAGCTGCGGTGAGCAAATCTGTTGCAGATGTATGGGCTGTTCCCTCCTGCTCTTCGTTCAAGTCCTCTCTGTTCCTGCAGGGAAGTCGTGCCTGGGCAGGTGTACCGCTACCAAGTGCAGGCAGTCTCTGGGACGACCTCAGGAGAAGCCTCCCCACCGCTCGTCCATGTCCATGGAGCACCTTACTGTGGGGATGGGAAGGTGATCATGTAAGTCAAGAAACCCAAGCTCTCAGCTGAGCTTCTTTAGGCTGTCCGGTCATCCTGCCCCAAAGGGAAGCACTGGGTTGGTCCTCCACCCATGGGTACTTGACTGAAGATGCTGCACTGAATCCCTCTGGCAGACTGGACTATAGAGCTTGTGTTTTGTAAAATGCCGCGTGCACAGGAGATGGTCTGTTTTGAGAAGCATGGTCTGGATAAGGGGTCCAACCTGAACATCCTCCGGGTTTGACTGCAGTGCTTGGATTCTGGCCCATCTCAGTGAACTGTTGTGGAGTCTTGACCCCAAAGGGATCCACCTTTGGCCAATATAACCTTTTGCATAGGGCACATGGTGGTGGTCCTGCAGGAGCGGGTTCCACAACAAGCAGAGTCCCAGGCAGCATGGTGTCTTTAGAGCTGTCTGGTCTCTGTTTAGAGACCCCAAATAATGAGGGATGTACCACCTCCACATTGAGAGAGTCCAGTGGTTCATCTGCTCTGTTTGGGGATAATTATGCCAAACTTCCATATTTTAGCTTTTTCACATATTTCAGCTTTTTCAGACTTCAACTTCCAGGTTACTCACAATTACTTTCCTTTGAAAACAGCTTTCTTAGTGTGAAGCAAAAGGGCAACTGAAGTAAGTGTAGGAGGGATTGTGGTATTGTACAAGACCCAGCAAGGCAAAGCGGCTTACAGCAGGGTTAGCTGCTGAAGTGGGGTAATCCAGCATGGTTTTAGCACGAATTCATACTAGTGGAAGACTCGGTCCAGAGAGAGCGAACAACCACGCTAGGCTCTGTTGTCCAAGTTGACAGAAAAGTGAGAGGAGCAGATATGGCCAGATAGTAGCTAAGATTTTTGGCAAGCTTTCCTGTTCCTGAGTTGTTGTGGGGAAGGCCATGCAGGAAGCTTTGTCTCTGAAAAGTGTTTGGTTTTTTTCCCTTTGTAGCATGTGTGGAACAGTGAGACAAAGGTGGGAAGATGGGACATAGTGGATCTTTTGTGTTAGATGAAGGTGGAGGTGGGTGAGCATCACAAGACATATGTCTGAAGTTTTTTTACTCCTCATGTTTTGGGATACATAACTCTGTGCACAGAGGAATAGGTACAAATTGAGGCACTTCTGCCAGCTTTTCCCACCAGGTCTGTTTTCTGCAGTATGGGGACAAAAGCTTTTTCAAGGAAACTGCATGGGCTATTTTTCCTCATGAGATGCCATGCATGTCAGCTAAGGGATGATCCTTGTCTCCTCTTGGGCTAACCTTCTCTCTCTTCCTTGTGCTGCCTCCCCTTGTCCAGCTCCCACTGAAACACCAACCCCACCTGAGAACCTCCTGCCCTCTCCAACACTTCCTTTCTCCAGCAGCAAGTCTTCCTGATGCTCGATCCTCTGCTTCCTCCATTGTATATATCTTCATTTTCTCCCATAGTTCTTGCCTCAGGTGTTAAAGAAAGTCACAGCACAGTCATGCCTTCTCTCATATGCTGTGTTCTCAATCTCTTTTTATTCCCTGGCGAGATATGGTGTTTTCTCTCCTCTATCTTACTCTAGATATGGTTCTTCCTCTTCCCCCTGCTTCTGTGGAAATCGAACCAGGATATGGGGTCCTCACTCAAGACTGGGCAGGAGCACCGGAGTGTTGAATCAAAGGTGGTGTTAACATGTCTGGCTGTTGTCCTCTTAGGAGCCTGGGGGAGGAATGTGATGATGGAGACTTGCTGGATGGAGATGGCTGTTCCAGGAAGTGTAAAAAGGAAAAGGGCTTCAACTGTGTTGGTGAGTCCAAATGGATTGAGACATCCTTTTGAGGCAGGAGTCAAAACTGTACATTATTCACACTGCTCTTCAGAGTGGGGGGGATGCACCTCATGGCAACAAAATGTGGGTCTGCAGCTGGAGTGATCCACGGAGCTTGTCAGGCCCTTGAGTTGGGAAATCCCAGGGCTAAGTGGCCAGCAAGCCTCCTGGGACAGGAGGAGATGTGTGTACCTGGAGCCTGGTTTGTAAATGGGTCTTACTACTTGTCTCCTTGCAGGGGAACCAAGTCTGTGCTACGTGCACGATGGCGATGGTGTGTGTGAGCCATTTGAGAAGACCAGCAGTGTCCTGGACTGTGGTCC